CAATGAACAATTAAAAATAATAGCACTGAGTTTTCGCTCTCCCCCTCTTCCTTCTTCTTTTTTTCTTGCTCTTTCTTCCTTTCTTGCTCTTTCCTCCCTTCCTCTGTTTCTTCCTTCCTTTCCTTCCTTCCTTCCTTCCTTCTTTGCTTTCTTCCTTCTTTCCTTCCTTGACTCACACACATACATCTTTTCTGGAAAGAACTTGTTGGGCAAGCTCCAGAGCAGCGAGCGACAGGACAATGAAGAAAGCAGCAGCCCTGGAACATCCATCCACCCCCCCTTTCGAAGCACATGTGTGGTGGGGGTGGCAGTGCCCCGAAAGGCAGGGAGAAAGTGAACAGAAAGGCTTTCCGTTTGCATTCTCTGCTGTGCTGGGGCTGGGGCTGAGGGGGCAGTGGAGGCAGCAGCGGGGGCAACCTGAAAGGCAGGGAGAAAGTGAACAGAAAGGCTTTCCATTTGCATTCTTTTCTGCACTGGGGTTGGGGCTGAGGGGGCATCAGAGCCAGCAGTGGGGGCACCACAAAAGGCAGGGAGAAACCGAACGGAAAGCCTTTCTGTTCACTTTCTCTGCTGCGCTGGGGCTGGGACTGAGAGGGGTGGTGGCGGTGGGTGGGGGTGCCCCGAAAGAGAGGCTGGGGGAAGGGTGTGGTCACCACTGTCCCCCTCTGCCCACTGGACTGGCCTGAAAAAGATGCCCCACCTTGGCCTCCTCCCACCTGGAAAGTCACATGCTGGGGGGGGAAGGCCTTGGGCAGTGGGGGGAGGCCCAGAAAGGCCCAAGGAGGTGGGTGAGGGCCTAGCAGGATGCAGGCTTACCTGTAAAAGCAGGGCAGGAAGATCAGGGCTGCTCAGTTGGGGTGCAGGCACTACGTGGGGAAGTCAGTTTAGGCAAGCCATGAAGGGCCCAGTGTACCATATAGGAATGACTGGGTGGGGTAAGCGAGGGGTGGGCAAGCTGTGCAAGTGAGCGAGCATTAGGTGGGTGGGGCAACTGAGTGACCCGGAAACCGGTTCAGGGGATGGCCAGCCAGAATTTGCTACCAGTTCCATGACCCATGCCAAATTCTTGCTACCGGGTCACCAGAACCAGTAAGAACCGGCTGAATACCTCCTCTGATTTCAGTGCTCCATGTTGTCTAAGAAAGTTTGGAATACATGCCTGGGAAGAGAGAGCTGGAAACCCCACCCTAGGATCTGGTTGAAAGAATCCTGTCTGAGGATGGCTCCAGTATTTTTACAACAATCCAGGTTGTGGCCTGGGTCCTCGGTGCTACCTCTTCCTACCAAAGGAATAAGAGGAGGACACTTGTTGGGGACCACCAGAAACTCCAGATGGTACAGCCATGGCAAGTAATGCTTCTTCAAAAATTTGCTGATTGTTCCCTTTCAATTCTTTAATCTTCAAATATTTTATTTGATTGTAGTATAAAATACAAAAATGTGAAAGCAAATAGGAGAACAAGTAAGGGAGGAGAAGGGGTTTTTTTCTCCTTCAAGCACAAAGTCCAGAAGTAGTCTCCATGTAGCAAAAAATATACTTATATACTTTCCTCTGCCAACTTCATCAACAATGGTGCATTTATGCACAGTCCTTACAGACTCTTAGGAATGGGGTGAGGTCAATAGTGTTTAGATTGAGGTTAAAGGAGTGGCGGTTTAAGGATTTTACAACAGAGTCAGGCAGTGCATTTCAGGCATTGACCACTCTGTTGCTGATGTTGTACTTTCTGCAATCGAGTTTGAAGTGGTTTACATTGAGTTTGTATCTGTTGTATGTTCTTGTATTACTATAGGGCATCTTACTCAGTGGAGTCCTTAGTGCTCTCTGAGCTTGGTTGTTTTTTTGTGGGTATTCCATTGAATTCTTATCCAACTAAGTAACATCATCAATGCCTTTATATGCTTGATGATAGCACTGATAATGGTATCTAGTCACATAATAAAATATTTGCAAGCAGACAACCAAACTCAGACAGAATCAAGGTGTTTACAATTCAAACTCGAGTTACAGTTTCTCTTCTATTGAACCTTATTCAATGTTTCTTCACAGCTAAAGTTTTCTTTGAGACTCAATTGACAGTAAATTTTGATCTGAGAAATACAAGTTGTAAGAAGGCAGATGACCTGTTTTGATAGATTGTGTTCTAGCAATTGCTAAGATAAGTGTGAGAAACCCTTTGCTTTCCCTGCTTTGGACCACACTTTGCAGTTTTATATCTTTGATCATTTGGCTGAATCTGATGGAATCTGAAGTCCAAATGCAGAAAAATCCCAGAGGATAATGATGTCTGGACTGGAAAATCATCAGCCTTTTCTGAACATTAAGGGGACTCTGAGACCATAGCCTGCTGAAATGAAACTGCAAGTGGAGACTTTTCACTAAAACAAAAATATTTTCATTGTAATTGGAAACAGATCTTGACAGTATCATCCAGAATTTATGAACCCACTTGGGTGCTCCTCTCTGTTTTTAGAAGTAATCCCCTCATTTATATATTTCTCTGACTGTCTTTCTGTTTAGGAGGCCCCCTTTTTTAGATGTACTGAAAGTTGCCTCCCAAGATATACAAAGCTCTTGAGAGAAGGAAAACCAGTTTGTTGCTATGACTGTTCTCCATGCATGGAAGGAACCTCCTCTGTGCAGAAAGGTAGGAAGTTCAAGAACGAAGAAGGAGCACCAGTCTTTTATTTTAAGGGCAATGTCAGGATTCCGGCAGTTACCCCAATTAAATCATGAGTTTCAAGCCAAACTTCCAAAACTTCAGAATGATTTATATTAGCAATAACATAGCACTTAGACTTATTTAGACCTTTGGAACATGATTTTAGCCAGAAAGTTGAGATTAAGGCTTGCCCTCAGAAGTTGTGGGCGTGTCAACATTTGAGACTTTCAAGAAGAGATTGGACTGCCATTTGTCAGAAATGGCATAGGGTCTTCCACTTGGGCCTGCGGGTTGGACCAGATGACCTACAAGGTGCTTTTCAAATCTGATTATTTGTTATCTGTTAAAACTAATTTAAATAAAGATGCTAGCAAGAATCTTTATAAAGTAAAACACACTTGCAAAAACAAATAGAATAAGTTTGTGGAGGGAAGGAGTTGTGTGTGTGCACATGTATTTTACTCACAGCTTGATGAAATAAACAAAAAGGAAGAGAGGAATGTTTTCCATAACCATAATTTTCTACTTTATCCATGCTTAGTAATTATTACTTTTTGAGATATTTAATTGTTGTTATTGAATGCAGACCAATTTTCACTATTCTAAAAATATCATTTAAAAAATAGAGAGTTTAAAAAAATCTTCATTGCTCTATCTATGTCCTGCTTCTGGTCAATTGGTCAAGATGCACTGAATATCACTGAATCAGTTGTTAAAAACAGTAATTCGTGCTTTCCAGATGTAGCCCATTGTGAAAAGTGTCCAAATGACCAGTACTCCAACAAGAAGCGGGATCATTGTGTCCCCTTCTTTGACAAACTGCTTTCAGTGTTGTTTTGTCAGTTGCCATGTCTTCCTTGCTGGCCAGGACTGTCATGGTGGTGGTGGCATTTCTGGCCACAAAGCCAGGCAGCAGGATGAGAAAGTGGTTGGGGAAAAGTCTGACCAACTCCATTGTCTTGTCCTGCTCTGGGATTCAGATGGGCATCTGCCTTACATGGTTGGGAATCTCTCCCCCATTTCCGCATTCTGACCTGCATTCCCAACCAGGACAGATCATCCTGCAGTGTAACGAAGGCTCGGTTATCATGTTCTATAGTGCCCTTGGCTACATGGGGTTCCTTCCTACCATCTGCTTCTTGGTGGCTTTTCTCACCAGAAAACTCCCAGGGACTTTCAATGAAGCCGAGTGGATCACCTCCAGCATTCTGGTTCTCTGCAGTGTTTGAATCTCCTTTGTCCCCACCTACCTGAGCACCAAAGGGAAATACAAGGTGGCTGTGCAGATCTTCTCCAATTTGGCCTCCAGCCTGGGTTTACTGGGCTGCATCTTCATCCCCAAATGTTACATCATCATTCTGAGACCCGACATGAATATGAGGGCGCATCCTGGCTGCACCCACAAATCCCTGATGCTACAATGGAGCTAGCGGACTGGACCGTGACCTGTCAAGATCGCAATATAGCCTCCGATAAGAGAAGGGGAGGGGGCCTAATTATTTATGTACATAAAGACTGGTGCAAAAACAGCAAAATAACAAACACCCATTGCTCACCAGATTTAGAGGGCATGACTGTTCAGTGTAGACCATTTTATCTGCCACGGGAGCTAACAGTAGTCACCATCACTGCTGTATATTTACCTCCAGATGTTAGCATGGTGCTCAGTCACCTTCAAGACATAATTACGATGCAACAGAGAGTTCATCCTGAGGCCGTTCACATCATTGCTGGGGATTTCAACAGAGCATGCTTAAAAACTGTGCTCCCCAAACTTTACCAACATGTTAAGTGCCCAACCAGGGGAAAAAACACACTTGAACATGTGTACTCAAATGTTAAGCGTGCTAATAGAGCAAAATCTCTTCTCCACTTAGGACAATCAGACCATTTCACCCTGCTTTTACTACCAGCCTACACTCCCCTTAGGAAGAGAACAAAACCTAGCAATCAAACTATTAGATGCTTGCCTGAAAATGCCCTCTCCCAATTTCAGGATTGTTTTGCTCGCACAGATTGGAGCATCTTCAAACAACAGGATTTTTAGTTATAAACAGAGACTGTGCTTTTCTACATGAAGACCTGTGTAGAAAATGTCACTGTGGACAAACACATATGGACCTTCCCAAACAGGAAACCCTGGATGACCAGTGAAGTCCAGACTCTGATCAGGGCCCATGACCTGGCTTTTAGAGCAGGTGACACCTCACACAGTAGAGCACTGCCAGAGCTGAGCTGAGAAGGGGCATCAAACATGTTAAGGAGATGTATAGGAGGAAGGTCGAGGGCCACTTTACTGACAGTGACCCACGGCAGATGTGGAGGGGGATACAGGCCATGACCAACTATAAAGGCCAAGGCCCAACAAACAGCAAGAGCAATAGCATTCTGGCAGAGAAGCTAAACAGCGTTTTTGCACACTTTGAGACCACCAAGAACCTGGATATACTGCCTCATGAAGACCACGACACTGCAACTCTCTTTCTTCAGGTGCATGAGGTGAGAAAAACACTGAGAGCAGTAAATTCCAGGAAAGCTGCAGGGCCTGATGGCATTTCTGGTGCAGTAGTTAAAGTGTGTGCAGACCAGTTGGCAGAAAGCTTACAGAGCTGTTCAATCTATCTTTAACACATGCCATCATCTCACAATGCCTGAAGGCTGCAACCATCATCCCCGTTCCCCAGAAAACAAATATAAACACTCTCAATGACTACAGGCCCATAGTGTTAACAAGCTCCATTATGAAGGTTTTTGAGCGACTAGTTTCACAGCACATCAGAGACTGCCTCCCTCCTTCCTTTGATCAACATCAGTTTGCTTATTGAGCAAATCAATCTACAGAGGATGCTGTAGCCATCACACTTCATAGAGCGCTGAGTCATCTGGAGAACAAACAGAGCTATGTGAGGATGCTCTTTGTGGACTACAGCTCTGCATTTAACACTATCATCCCAGATATACTAGTAATCTGCAGGTCTCCACCCCCTACATGCTCCTGGATTAAGAACTTTTTGACAAACAGACCACAGTCTGTTAGACTTGCCCCCCACCTTTCTTCCACTATTACACTCAGTACTGGTTCCCCCCAGGGTTGTGTCTTGAGCCCCCTGCTATATGCCTTGCACACCTTTGACTGCTCACCAAGCTACACAACAAACACCATCATAAAGTTTGTGGATGACATGACCATGATTGGTCTCACCTCTGGAGATGATGAGACAGCATATGGGGCAGAATTAGAGAACCTGTCTGTCTGGTGTTCACAGAACAATCTGTCACTGAATAAAACCAAAGAACTGATTATGGACTTCAGGAAACATGGACAGGGCCATGCCTCCACTCATCATCAATGGAGGACGAGTGGAAACTGTCCCTACGATCAGATTCCTTGGTATCCATATTTCAGCTGATATCTCCTGGTCCCCTAACACCAAGGCCATAGTAAAGAAGGCTCAGCAGCGGCTACACTTTCTGAGGGTTCTCAGGAAAAACAATCTGGATAAGAAGCTGTTGCTGGCTTTCTATAAAGCCTCTGTGGAGAGCACTCTGACATACTGTCTGGGTGTGTGGTACAGAGGGTGATAAATACAGCTCAAAAGATCATTGGTTGCCCTCTGCCCTTCCTGGAAGACTTAGCCAGGTCCCGCTGCCAACGCAGAATCAAGGCCCCTCACACCCTGGCAATTATCTCTTTGAGCTGCTGCCATCTGGATGGCGCTTTAAGTCAATAAAATCCCACACCACTAGACTAACAAATTGTTTCTTTCCCTGGGCCATCCAAACTGCAAATAAACACAAAATCACTACCTTATTAAGATGTGAAAAGGTGTGAAATCTCAATACCTCATTCAGATGTATAATAACATATTACAATATAATCTCTTGTGTATTATACTCGGCTAAGTGTCACAGTCAGTGTTGGATGTATATTTTGTGTATATTTGTAGATATTGTACTCTCAAATTGCAAATGGAGACGTGGGTACTCTATTTTTCTTATCTTCATTTTTAAGTGCTTTGGTTTTATTGTATTGCGAAGAGTTGCTGGGGTGCATCCACAGTTTCGTTGTACTTGTATAATGACAATAAAGTTCTTCTTCTTCTTCTTCTTCTTCTTCTTCTTCTTCTTCTTCTTCTT